TCTCCTTTGTTAGAAATCAGCCACGAAATACTCTGTAATTTAGTCAGGGTTTTAGGAAGATGCACAGTTACTCACTGTGTGTGACCACAAATGTGAGGTGATGTCATTGCAGTGGAAAAACAGTGCTTCCATGGTGATCACACGTATTAGCTTTGTGTGTAATGCATAGACTGCATAAAAATAATGGACATAGAATTGACCAGATTTGGATGAGAAGACTGGAGGCTGTGGTGATGGCTCGCAGTCAGCCTGTCACTCAAAGTGGCCAAGTTCTTAATTATGCGGTAATAAAATGTCGTCATGAACAGGGCAAATTATTTATAGGCTGTAAATTAGGGATGCACCGATTGTGAAATTCTGGGCCAATACACATACTGATATTTAAAACAACAATTTGACTGATGGCCGATACAGATACCGATGTGTTTTTCTTGTTTGTGTGTGTGTGTTTTTCTTCTGTTGTTGTTTATTATTTGTTGTTACTCATTCCCCCTCTTATTCTAGGGAAACAAAAAAAAGTCTTCATTATAAAAACACAATTGCACTGTTATGAAGTCCTTCAGTTCTTCATTTATGAAACAACCCTTTATGTAACCTTCTTTTGCATGAAAAACTTTTTAAATTACTAATTCAAAAGTTTTTTACTATAGAATTTCTTCTCTAACATCTGTTTAAATTGCTGTATATTATTTTATATTATTATTTGTTTTATATTATCATATTGTTTTAGATTATTACTCATTTACTTATTATTTTTTTTATATATATTTCATTTATTTTATTTTTAATTTTATAATTTATATTGCTATTTATTGCTTCCATATTGCAAATTTCTTCTTAAAACAACCGGTTTTATTTAAATTCCTCGCCAAAAACTACATTTTACAAGACTGCATTTGAACACATCATGAGAACATGATAATTTACCTTGGCCCAATTCTCATTTTTACTGAAGAGAGCTTGAACACCTCATAATGTAACTCAGTGCAACCTCCGTTAGCTGTTCGTTTCAGCCGTAACAGCTAACGCTAATTAGCGCACCCTCCTGCCGATTTCAACACGGATTTGTTGTTCACTATGTAGCATTATCAGAAAGACAATATGTTGCACCCTCTGACACTTTGATGGTGAGTTTACTGCCTGCTTTCGTCTCAACGGTGTCCCAGTAAGATCTCGGTTTGTTCCAGCACATTTATTATTGTCTCCAGTACGATGAGTTATTTTTCAAGTCCTGCTTTTTAGCCGATACCAATATGCGGCCGATAAATTGGTGTGTTCCTTCTGTAAACATGCTTATTTCTGCTGTAAAATTTTGCATTTTAACATGGGTGTCTGCGAGGACTGACCCACTGTTGGAGCCAGCCTCAAGTGGCCGTTCGAGGAACTGCAGTTTTTGGCTCTCCTGTGTTGGCTTCATTTGTAGAGGGAGATTGAAGACAGAGGGGCTGACATAGAGAGTAGTAGAATCAATGTGGAAGCTTTTACTTTGTGCTTATGTGTATGAGTGTGTGTACTGTGATGATGAGAGCGATGAATAGCCCAACCCCACGGGGAAACATACTGTAGATCCTTAATAGCAAGACATATCCAACATCATCCCTGAGTCATCACTGTTTATGGGCTGGAAGAACATATGCAGACATATACACAAATACAACACTGTGTGTTACCTACAGTAATAGGTACAGTAATAGTAACAGCGACTGATAATTGAACAAGACTGTCTATAGAAAGGTAGGCTCACCGTGGTCATGATGCTGGTTTAATCAGAGAGCCTTAGATAACACGCTCCAGTCAGATCAAAAGGACTTAATATATATGCCCCTCTTTTCTGTCTTACTCTGTGTGGCTCAGGGTGAGTGGAGATAAAGTGTTAGTAATCAAACAGAGAGGTTTCCATTGTTGTCCCCTCAATGGATCCAGTCAATCTCACTGCTGTCTGGAATAAAGCCTCTTTGCTCTGCCATTTGGAGACATTAGGAGATGAAAAAAGGTCTCAAGCGTAGCTTTGCTAGGACCAGTCGGACAGAGTGTATTTTCTCAACAAAATCATCTATATACAAATATAACATGATAAAACGTGTACTAATAGAAAGGGTTGGTATCTGTGCAGTAGCGTTGTTGCATATTATAGCCCATGTACCAAGGCTGCGTCTGTAATAGCCTGTATAACTCATTATAAAGTCCACCATAAAGTGAGTTTGCTATTTAGTAGTGCTATCTGAATGTATTGTGTGAATTATGCTAGTAGTCGTGATTTGTGCGGTAATGGCATAATGCATAATGCTATACATTAAATTCACAAGTTCTTACATGACTAAATGATAAAACAAACTTCAACATAACAAAGGTTTAAAGGAAAATTACTGACATTTGAAGGATATGTTGCCATCACACTGCTCTCTCCTCTTGTCCATCTGACAGTACAATATTAATATCTTAATATCATCTCACAACACAAACAGCCACAGAGTACTTTGTAGTATTATTAGGGATGTAACGATACCAGAAACTCACGATACGATATTATCACGCTAAAGAGTCCACGATACGATATATATCACGATATTTATACAAGGGGAAAAAAAGAGAAAATTTATTGTTAAAAATAGCTATTTTATTCAAAAATAGTGCATGTACACTGTACAGCATGTTATTTTTAACTTGGAAGCGTATCATAAACAAATCAACACACAGTTGAACATGTGCTTTCATTTCCCCCCTATTACTGCTAGGCAGGCAGACATTAAAGTGCCATAACAAAGTCATCTCAATTAAAACTATAGTGACAAAATATGAAAATGGAATCATTCAGTATTTTTTAACCTGCTCTGAACAAAAGTAGTGCAGTACTACTACTAGAAAGCCATCTGAATGACATCAAATTATGAGGATAGAGTAGTCTTAATATTCATCAAATATACAGAACTTAGAACAATCGGACCCTGCAACAACAACACAATTAACAAATTAGAAATAATGTAAACTCAATAACACACAACCCTTCACTCACAGATACTGAGAGAGAGAGAGAGAGAGAGAGAGAGAGAGATGGGTAGAGATGTGTGTAAAAGAAAACCAAAATAGATAAAGCCCAGCCATTTCCCTGGAAGTCATGGAAAAACTCAAAAACACACATTCACTCAGTTTGTTCACGCCAGGTTGACAATCTTGACATCAAGGAGACCCTAACACTTTCTCAGAACAGGAGATGAGGAGAGGAAAGCTCTGGTCCTGCGCTTTCATGTGATATGCGTGGCATTTCTGTGTGACCCTGCATTCGCAAGTAATCCATCCAAAAGTAATGTGTGTGCAAAGCTGTATGAAAGCTTTGTTATATATTATTTTAGTGTAATTTTATCATTTTTTTTCGCTGTGAAAACATTAGACTACCGACAAGTGCTTGGTCCGTGATATGTGTGGCTTCTTGTTATGACGAACGGTCGCAGTCGGAGGCTGAGATGCTGAGCTGCACGAGTCTGCTCTCACTGCACGCGCAGTTGTATGCAAAGGATTATGGGGAATGTAGCTGCACAGTCACATTACCGGCTCTGTAGGAGAATGTAGCTATATAACTACCGTGGCATTCCCACGACGGTATCGAGAATTTATTTTATCGCGACACCGCGAAATTCGACATATCGTTACATGCATACAAGTATTATTTATTAATTTGGGGAAAATATGCTCAGTATAGTCCATGTATTTATCACAAATATGCATGTCAGTATTTGTCATGGCGTGTTATCATTGTGGGACAGCAATAATGAAATTAACAGCACTTAGAAAATGACCTGAGTAGTGTCTGATAGTGTTTTTTCATGCTGTAGATGAGCTCAGTGTATGGTCCTCTAATTCTCAGTGATAATTAGAGATGCACGGATCAATCAGCTGATGACAGGAATTGCCTGATTTTTGATGGGCCATGACCGCTGCTTGGCCGGTCAGTCTCAGATATAGCCAACCCTGAGCCGATCAAATTTACATCCATGCGGTGCACGATAGTTCATGTCGCAGGCAGCAGCACAGAAAGTAACTGACTATTGCCAGAGCTGCTGCAACCCATTCTCAAAAGCTGTATTTCATTCCCGTGCATGCTACATGTGGTTTGAAAGCTACTGTTAAAGCTAACTAGCAGACTGGGGTACACCACTTAAAGTGTGTAGTGTAGCAAAGCTAATCCTTTTATGTAAGTGGTTGGAAGATGCTACACTTAGCTTCTAGTCTGGGAGGTGTAACCAAAAAAAACAAACAAATTTGGGTGGTCTACTAGTTAGGTGAGTCTGCTAGTTAGGTAACCAGTCAAGATTACTAGCAGACTGCTGGGGTAGTTTTGCAGAAGTTTCACGTAAAAAAAAGCTAATGCTAACTGTTTCAATGAATGCTAAATGCCAAAATTATTAGCGCCATACTCAGTGTGGTATTGTAAATAAAAACACAGAGTTGATTTGTCCAACCTAGTTTGCTGGTAAGTTGAGTTAGCTTTCTTACGAAGTCGGGTCCATCTGATAGATATGCCAGTTTATTGTGTGGCAGCAAAATGTTTAAACTCTAGTGACTGAAAGTAAAATAAAAAGGTAATGTTACTTGAGCTGAAAGGAAGCTGTCAATCAAATGGGATGTGATCACGCTCCCACAATTAAATAGCTATGGACATTTACTTTCACACTGATTTTGGTGGATTAATGAGACATTCATCTTTAAATATGTTTGTGTATGCTGTAAATTATAGTTCCTAAAAAGAAAGAAAATCCAAATGGTGCATCTCTAGTGATTCAGGAAACATGCAACTGACATCTGTTCTGCTAATATCATCTGTATTTCTACAATTCATGGTTCCCTCTCCCCAAATACATTACTGTATTTCTTAGTTTTAATTCATCTGCCATAATATCGCTCTAATCCCAGACTTGGCATAGGCCCAGGTCCAGCTATCAGTCTTTTCAGACTCATCCTGATGTCCTACATCCGTAACACTGTTCTTGTGTCTCTCCGTGCAGGTTAACTTTGTGGCATGCCAGTTGTTCGCCCTGCTGATGGCCGTGTGGTTTCGGATCTACCTCCACCCCAGTAAGACCAGTCCTTTTATCAGACATGTGGTGGCCACTCTGCTGGGCTTCTACTTGGCTCTCTTCTGCTTTGGCTGGTGAGTCACTCCTCTGTTTATCCCGCAGTTCTTTTCTTGTCATCACTGTCCTTTCATACTTAGCTCCTTCCTTCCTTCCTTCCTTCCTTTCTCAGAGTTTCTTCCTACAGTATTATTGTAGTGGGATCATTTGGACAGTGGACTGTGGCCATGTACCAATTCCATGCTATTGTAAAAACATTACTATGCTGCTGGGTTGTTTGAAAGGATGTTGCTAATCTCATGGTTCAGTTATTGGTATTTGAAATGTCATGTCATGTTATGTAATGAAAGGAAATGTTATATAATGAAGTGTAATGAAGTGCCCTCTTCTGCTTCCTACATTTCTTAGAGTGTGAATGTCGATTTATGAGTTAGCTGACTGAAAGTTAATCATAAATTATTTGATAAACTTTTAGGGATTTAATGAAGCAGCTATGCCAAACATGTTGTTCGTCCCATCTTCTCACATGTGAGAAGATGTAAGCTCTTCTCTGTGATACTGTCTATGATGGTAAACTGAGTATTTGGGGGTTTTGAAGTGTTTTCAGATAAAAAATAGCATTTTCTATACATAGCCTCGGGCTCTGGGAAATTATAATGGGCATTTTTCACTTTTTATTTCACAAAACAGTTCATTAATCAAGAAATGGGCAGATTAATTGAAATTGATTTTCATACATGTAGGTCCTTCTGTTTGACAAAAGAGAGTGTCACAACCTCATAGCAAACAACAGATTTTGTGACTGCACTGCATAAAGATCGCTGATATATGATCATGAACAGGAAGGCAAAATTTGAAGAGACTGAATAGTTAATACCATATTTGCACTCAGTTTGGTCTTCCTGAATCGGCTGTTGCCCCGATGTTTCCCCCTGCTTGCTAGCTTTGGCAACATGCTCAATGTGTGAACACACCAAACGGACGTCAAAGAACTTGTTTGTTGCTTTGCTCACATTGCCTTTATTTTGGCATAAAAGTTGCACATGAACACACCACAAAGGCTACAGCCAACAGCCAACTAGCACATACGTTCTGCGCCCGCGTCAGAGTAATAAACTCTCCATACCAGTAGGTGGCGTTAGTTTGTATTTGTCATTAAAAAGGAAAACAGTAGACCAACAGTATAGATTCAAGACACTAGTTAGCCAGTTTGCACATTACCAACACATCTTGATTTTGGAAGAACAAAGCATATTTACCGTGTGCGAGGGAACAGCGACTCAAACAAGTACGAACGATTTCTGTTAAAGAGCTTGTTTGCTTTCCTCACTTCTGTTTCACTTCTCGTGCACTGAGTTGAATGATTTTACTCACTCACGACTCCACAGGCTCAGACACCAATTCATACTTCAGCACCCGGCACAGACAAGAGCCGACTAATACCAGCAGTGTGGGATAAACCGCAAAAACTATGGTGACAAACACTGACCGACGGCCGATTGTCAACTTGGTGTATCATGTCCTTTATCTGTTGGAAGGACTGACTGCTAGTGAGAGCTCCTGTTGATTTGGATAGAAAACTGACTGCACATTGTGTAATAATTTAATGTTACCTGAGCAGAAAATGTGAATTATAAGGAAATGAACATACAAATTTGTCAAATAAAAGATACATTTCCAGGCATATTGCGTTCATAATATCACATTTAAACAGGATAATGAAACAAGATAATGAAGGAGAATCATGACTTAACAGTTTGGCTTATTGTACCATTTAATGTGAATTTCATTAAGTGCTTAATAGACTACTTAAAATTTCAGTGTCAATTATTTATAAGCTAGTAATCAATTAGTCTGAAATGACTCACTGACATTATTCACACACTTTTATCTATGATTTGTTGGTAATTTGGGGGATAGAATAGAATATATATATATACATATATATATATACAGCACAACATGAGGGGAATATTAATGATTATTTTCACTGTTGACTAATCTGCCAGTTGCTTTCCAGATTAATCCATTAATAGTGTGAAAAAGTGAAAGTGAAAAGTGAAAAGTGTTTCAGTCATTGTTCCGCTCCTACAGTATCAGTCACTTCCCTGAGTTTGCAGTTTATTATTCTGCATTTGTTCTCCTGTCACTGTCCTACACCTTTTTCCTTGTTTGCAACTTGTCTGCCATCCTCCTCCTCCTCCCCTCTGGTTTCTGCCGCTCCCCTCGCCGCCCTTCCCCTCCTCATTCTCCCTCACCCCATCCTCATTCTCTTCATCCTTGCCAAAGCAAATGGGTCGATCGGGCAGTAACGGATATCCAATTATAAAGCTATTGCCCTGTAATAGACAACCCACTGTACCTCTGGCAGAGTGCCTCTCTAAGTGCCACTGCATGTGTGTGTGTGTGTGTGTATGTGTGTGTGTGTTTGCACAGGACGGCAAACCTACGAAACATTAGCCAGACATCCAGCTAGTGGAAAGATGGTAACCAGGTGAAATGTTACCTGGTCATGGAGTAACAGGTGATAGGGTTTTATCTCATCCCCTTGCTGACAGACAGGTCGTGTACTTGATGCAGCTGACACTGAGCTGTGGTTGGATCATGTTGTTTGTTGTGGCTGGGAGAGATGATGCAAAGACTACCTTCTAGTTAAAGCACGGCATCACGGTGTCGCACAGAAGTGACTCATATTTCTTAACCAAAGCATGAACTGATGTCTGTTAGGGTTATCAAATTTTGATTTATTGGTACATACTGATTCTGAATATTTGAAGTAGTTTCAATTACAATGTGATTCCTTTATTAACAAGACAGGTGTTTGTTTTGCTGCCTCAAAACTCTGTTACCTGTCGTATTAAACCACACTGACTGTATCTGGATGTCTGGCTGTACCATAATCAAAGTTTATGCCAGAAGGGGGTGGGGTTTAAATTCAAAGTGGGTTTGGTCTCATTGGAAGTTGTTATTTTAAGCCTGGAATGTATATGGATTAATCAGAAGTCGCCATATTTATTAGCTATGAGAAAAGTATTCATAGAGCAGCCTCAGAATTGAGCTTTAGATCATTTTTTGTGACCATGACCCATGGACATGAGCCCTGGGTAGTGACCGAAAGAATGAGATCATGAATACAAAGTGCCGAAATCAGGGTCCTCCGTGGGGTGGCTGGGCCCAGCCTTAAAGATGGGGTAAGGAGCTCCGACATCCGGAGGGAGCTTGGAGTAGAGTGGCTGATCCTTTGTGTCGAAAGGGGTCAGTTGAGGTGGTTCGGGCATCTGATCAGGATGTTTCCTGGGTGCCTCCTGTTAGAGGTGTTGAGCACGTCCCACTGGTAGGAGGCCCCGGGGCAGACATGTTGGAGGGATTACATATCTCATCTGGCCTCTCAAGGCTCTCCAGGAAGAGCTGGAAAACGTTGCTGGGGAGAGGGATATCTGGGGTGCTTTGCTTGGCCTGCTGCCCCCACGACCTGGCCCCGGATAAGCAAATGAAAATGGGTGGATACATTTTTTCATCACAAGTAACAGATGAAACACAGCTACCCAAATGATGATTTTCCTTTATCACAAGTACAGAGAATGACCCATTTTACTCGTATGAAACTCATACTTGTAAAAATTACATTATCTGTATCCGAGTATTCGGCTCAACCCTAGTTACCATTAACAACAGAATCAGTAAAGGGGATTTTAACTACAAGTGCTGCAAAATGAATCTTCTGCTGTTCTCTGCTACCAACCAGGAAAAAATTCATTGCTGTCATGTTATAGCCTTTTTATCATTAACTTTTAATAAAAAAATTACATTCTAATGCCCTGAATATCATTTTTTTCCCCTTTGGTATTGAAAATGGTATTGATTATTGATATTTTTCAGGGTGTTGTATCAAAGTTAAAAATTACAATATTGTGTCCACACTAATGTTTATCATAATTAGGGCTGCAACAGATGGTCCATTGGTGCTGTGTCTAACCCGTTGGACGGTCAGAGATCAGACCCTCAGCACAATCCTGTTGTCTTCCTCTGGAACTGTGAAAGACGTCCACATCGCGACATGTTTTGACCTCTAGACAGCATGTCGCAGTTGTTTTTCTTCTTCTCTGTGTTTTTTGCCGACTCCTAAACCAAATTTAAAGGTCCATGTACTGTCACCCACTGTGTTCGTATTATCGGTGCTATTTATCGGACTGTCCCATTATCGGACGATAATTTATTGGCCTGATATATATTGTGCATCCCTATTCATAGTAATAAAAATCTGTTTTTGCTTAAAATTTACATGAAAAAGAGGTTTGTCTTCCCCTAATGTGAGTTGATATTAGCATGTTTCCATACGTTTCAAATGATTTAGTTCATTAAAAAATATTCACTGCGATATATTAGGCTGCTAATTTGCTATAGTGTAAATGTGAATGTTTCAGATGCTGATTATAAAGGTATACAATGCCTTTCTCCTTACCTTATTCGTTCATAAATCTGTATTTAACATGAGAAAAGTGAGTATCAAGTAGAGGTAAAAGATGTGTACAGTAGCAGTGGAGATGTCAGAACTTATCGGCTATAAGTTGGCTAATGAAATTATGAGGATAGTAGGCTAATTGCTGTCATCACAGTGTGCCACCAGATCATCACCACACCTTAAAAACCAGCATGAAAAATAAGGAACTAAACATATAATTAGTCAGACAACACAAGTACAACGGTTGTATTGTATTCCCTAAGGCGTGAATGGGTGTTTCCAGTTTATTGAGCAACAAAACATGTATTGTGAAAAGATTCTTTGCATCAGGAAGAACGGACATACTGTTCTTCACTGTTAAACACAAACCCATCCCAACGAATCACACGTTTCCAACATAACAGATGTGAAATAAAAAAATATATGTGTATTATTCACACAATTCAGGACTCTTGTGATGGACCTGCTAACCTGATGTCAGATCAATCTGACATCAATTTTATTTATTTAAAGTACCATTCATCTCAATAGCCTCTTTGTCCAAATGGGCCAAACAATCAATAAATGTGTCTGTGAAAGCCTGCCAGAGAGTTTTATGCACCGCAGGGATTATAA